GAAATCAGTTATACATGTCTCCAAATCTCTTCCCTCTTACATCTCCCTCCCACCCTCCCTATCCCACCCCTCTAGGTGGTCACAAAGCACTGAGCTGATCTCCCTGTGCTATGCGGCTGCTTCCCACTAGCTATCTATTTTACGTTTGGAAGTGAATATATGGCCACGCCACTCTCTCACTTTGTCACAGCTTACCCTTCGTCCTCCCCATATCCTCTAGTCTATTCTCTAGTAGGTCTGCATCTTTATTCCCATCTTGCCCCTAGGTTCTTCTGACCCTTTTTTTTTTTTTTTTTTAGATTCCATATATATATGTGTTAGCACATGGTATTTGTTTTTGTCTTTCTGACTTACACTGTATGACAGTCTCTAGGTCCATCCACCTCACTACAAATAACTCAGTTTCGTTCCTTTTTATGGCTGAGTAATATTCCATTATATATATATGCCACATCTTCTTTATCCATTCATCTGCTGATGGACACTTAGGCTGCTTCCATGTCCTGGCTATTGTAATAGAGCTGCAATGAACATTTTGGTACAAGACTCTTTCTGAATTATGGTTTTCTCAGGGTATATGCCCAATAGTGGGATTGCTGGGTCCTATGGTAGTTCCATATTTAGTTTTTTAAGGAACCTCCAACTGTTCTCCATAGTGGCTGTATCAATTTACATTCCCACAAACAGTGCAAGAGGGTTCCCTTTTCTCCACACCCTCTCCAGCATTTATTGTTTGTAGATTTTTTCATGATGGCCATTCTGACCGGTGTGAGATAATATCTCATTGTAGTTTTGATTTGCATTTCTCTAATGATTAATGATTTTGAGCATTCTTTCATGTGTTTGCTGGCAATCCGTATATCTTCTTTGGAGAAATGTCTATTTAGGTCTTCTACCCATTTTTGGATTGGGTTGTTTGTTTTTTTGATATTGAGCTGCATGACTTGCTTGTATGTTTTGGAAATTAATCCTTTGTCAGTTGCTTCATTTGCAAATATTTTCTCCCATTCTGAGGGCTCTCTTTTCGGCTTGTTTATGGTTTCCTTTACTGTGCAAAAGCTTTAAAGTTTCATTAGGTCCCATTCGTTTATTTTTGTTTTTATTTCCATTTCTCTAGGAGGTGGGTCAGAAAGGATCTTGCTGTGATTTATGTCATAGAGTGTTCTGCCTATGTTTTCCTCTAAGAGTTTGATACTTTCTGGCCTTACATTTAGGTCTTTAATCCATTTTGAGCTTATTTTTGTGTATGGTGTTAGGGAGGGTTCTAATCTCGTACTTTTACATGTAGCTGTCCAGTTTTCCCAGCACCACTTATTGAAGAGGCTGTCTTTTCTCCACTGTATATTCTTGCCTCCTTTATCAAAGATAAGGTGACCATATGTGCGTGGGTTTATCTCTGTGCTTTCTATCCTGTTCCATTGATCTATATTTCTGTTTTTGTGCCAGTACCATACTCTCTTGATTACTGTAGCTTTGTAGTATAATCTGAAGTCAGGGAGCCTGATTCCTCCAGCTCCATTTTTCGTTCTCAAGATTGCTTTGGCTATTTGGGGTCTTTTGTGTTTCCATACAAATTGTGAAATTTTTTGTTCTAGTTCTGTGAAAATTGCCAGTGGTAGTTTGACAGGGATTGCATTGAATCTGTAGATTGCTTTGGGGAGTAGAGTCATTTTCACAATGTTGATTCTTCCAACCCAAGAACGTGGTATATCTCTCTATCTATTTGTATCATCTTTAATTTCTTTCATCAGGGTTTCATAGTTTTCTGCATACAGGTCTTTTGTCACCTTAGGGGGGTTTATTCCTAGATATTTTATTCTTTTTGTTGCAATGGTAAATGGGAGTGTTTTCTTAATTTCACTTTCAGATTTTTCATCATTAGTGTGTAGGAATGCAAGAGATTTCTGTGCATTAATTTTGTATCCTGCTACTTTACCAAATTCATTGATTAGCTCTAGCAGTTTTCTGGTAGCATCTTTAGGATTCTCTATGTATAGTATCATGTCATCTGCAAATAGTGACAGCTTTACTTCTTCTTTTCCAATTTGGAATGCTTTTATTTCTTTTTCTTCTCTGATTGCTACGGCTAAAACTTCCAAAACTATGTTGAATAATAGTGGTGAGAGTGGGCAGCCTTGGCTTGTTCCTCATGTTAGTGGAATTGGTTTCAGTTTTTCACCATTGAGGACGATGTTGGCTGTGGGTTTGTCATATATGGCCTTTATTATGTTGAGGAAAGTTCCCTCTATGCCTACTTTCTGGAGGGTTTTTATCATAAATAGGTGTTGAATTTTGTCGAAAGCATTCTCTGCATCTATTGAGATGATAATATGATTTTTCTCTTTCAATTTGTTAATATGGTGTATCCCGTTGATTGATTTGCGTATATCGAAGAATCCTTGCATTCCTGGGATAAACCCCACTTGACCATGGTGTATGATCCTTTTAATGTGCAGTTGGATTCTGTTTGCTAGTATTTTGTTGAGGATTTTTGCTTCTATGTTCATCAGTGATATTGGCCTGTAGTTTTCTTTCTTTGTGACATCTTTGTCTGGTTTTGGTATCGGAGTGATCAGAATCCACTCTTACGAAATTCACTAATAACCGTGACACTGCCACATGCAGTGGTGACTTCTTAGTCCTCAGCATTTGTACAAGTTAATTACTGCCTCCTGTTTGAAACATTTAATTCACTGGCTTCCAAAACAACACAGATCTAGTTCTCATACCTCACTGGCTGCTACTTCCTATATTATATTGTTCATTCCTACTCACTACCTCAATATCTAAATGGTGAAATTCCTCAGAGATCAGTTCTCAGACCTCTTCTCTCTTCTATCTATACTCACTCCCTTGGTGATCTCATCTTACCTCTTGGCTTTAAATACCATCTATATATGAACTACTTCTAAATTTATTTCTCTAGACTAGATGTTTCTCCTTAACTCCAGGCTCATATATCTAACTATCTAATGATATCTATACTTGAATATATTAATGGGCATCTCACATTTAACACGTCCAAAACTCAACCTCTGGTTTTCCCCCGAAAACTGCTTCTCCCACGTCTTTCCCATCTCAATAAAGAACATCCGTCCATTTGCAAAGGCCAAAACTTTGGAGTCTTCTTTGGCTTCTCTCTCTTACATCTCACATCCAATTCATCAGTCAATCCTATACCCTACATTCAATAGATTATCACAACCCTCACCATTTCCATCCTGGTGTAAAACACCATCATCTCTTGCTAAGATAACTGCAACTCCTAACTGGTCTCCTTGACTCTTCCTATGCCCCCAAAGAGTCTTTTTCAATACAGTAGCTAGGATGATACTCTTAAAATGTGTATCAGATGTCATTCCTTTACTCAAAACTATGTGAGGCTCTCTGCTTCCCTCAAATTAAAAATCAATATCCTTACAGTGGCCTTTAATGTCCTATGCTACGTTGCATCCCGTGTTCTATTTAACTTCATCTCCTGCTACTTTTCCCTGCCTTACTTGCTCTGGCCACTTTGGCTGCCTTGCCATCTTTTAAACATATCAGGCATCCTTCTGCCTGGAATGCTATTCTCCCAAATAGCTACATAATTCACTACCTTCTCTCCATTAGATCTTTCTCAAATGTCTCTTTTTCAGTGAGGTCTTCCCTATTTTAAAACTGCAATCCTGTTCACCATTACTTACTTTACTTTTCTCCAGAGTATTTTTCACTTTACGAAATATTACATATTTTATTTTATTTATTGCCTGTCTCTCCTACTAGAATGTAAGATACAGGAAGAAAGGAATATTTTCATTGACTTTATTTATTGCTAAAACCAGGGTCTAGAATGTTCTGTCAAAGAGTAGGCACTCCAATAGTGGTTCTTCAGCCTCTATTGACCTATGAAAACTACTTTCCATGTTCTGTTACTCAGGGTTGGATCCATTGTCCCTTTGATTCTTCTCACTCTCCAGTGTCCCTTTGATTCTTCTCACTCTCTCTACTGAATCAGAGTTGACTACTATCATTGACACTTATCTTCGAGTCCAGAATCACAGAGGACTCTCAGATAGAGAAGTGTGCAGAACTGCCAATTTCCATCAGTAATCCTAAAATCTGATTTATTAAAAGATACTTTACAGTTAGAGTCTGTGTTTTAAAGAAATAAACCATTAAATCAAAACCATCTATTGCATGTCTTTCATTTCCTTTCTGTATGACATTTCAGGCAATCTTTGCAATAATGATGCTATTATATACTATAATCCCTAGAGGCTTGGGCTAAGATTTAGTAAATTAGAGTGCTGGTCTTGGCAAAGCCAGTAATTTAGGTTCATATCCTTTAACTTCTGTGTCTCAATTTTTCTATCTTACAAATGGGGACTATTCTGGCCCTTTTACATAGTGTCTTATAGAAATTATTTGTATACATCTTTTCTTTCCATTGCCTTTGAAGATTGGGGCTGTTTTTATTTATCTGTGTATATCACATGCTATTTACAATGTTTAGTAGATCAATATATGCATAGATAAAACAGATTTTAGTTTTAAGCATGAAATTACCTATGTGGAATTACTTCAAAAAACATATGATGTAATATAAAAAATACTATTTATTTTTACCATAAAATGAGGCTTAACAGATTCCCAGGAAAAAAAGGAGAAATTACATCTTTTCTCCCCAAGGAGAACAAATTTATTTACTTACTCAGTATTAAAAATTAAAAAAAAAACCAGCCACTCATTTTCCTCCATTCTTTTGTTCCCCATCATTCCAACAATACTACTGATTTATCCTGTAATTTAAAGACCATAAATTTGGAACTTTAAACCTCAAGGCTTCACTATTCTCCAGCATCCACAATCTAGTGATACCAAATTCCATCACCTTTTTTGTTTCTATTTCTCAGCTCCATCCTTCTCATCTGTATTTCTGTAGCCATGATGTTAATTTTAAATTAAGACCATTGAATGTTACTACATTTTAACAAAAAGTGGTATATTTAGCCTCTTACCAGTACATCATGCACCAAGGCTTGATATGTCCAAGTATGGTGTAAAGGAGTTGCCAAATCTATGTTTCTGTCAACAAGGACTAATAAAGGCCTTTGGAAGCTGTAAATATATTAAAAAAAAAGTTATGTAACTCTTAACACCTGTGTATACATCTACATTCTTCTACTACTTTCAGTATATGTCATTTTCATATGAACAATAAGTATACTAATATTGATGTTCCATAATACTTTGCTTTCTAAAAAATTTTCTAGTACAATCAAGTAAAGCAATGCTTTGTACTACCTAGAGCCTGTGTATGATGCTAGATTATATGTCTTACTTAGGGAACTTTCTTAAAGGAAAAAATCTATACAAATACTTCTACAGAATAATTTTTTTTTTTTTTTTTAGCGGTACGTGGGCCTCTCACTGTTGTGGCCTCTCCTCTTGCGGAGCACAGGCTCCAGACGCGCAGGCTCAGCGGCTGTGGCTCACGGGCCTAGCCGCTCCGCGGCATGTGGGATCTTCCCGGACCGGGGCACGAACCCGTGTCCCCTGCATCAGCAGGCGGACTCTCAACCACTGCGCCACCAGGGAAGCCCTACAGAATAATTTTTATAGTTATCAAAGTAAGAATAAGTTGCTTTTGCTCAGATTTATATTTTATATTTTTGAATAAAAGGAAAAAAAGAAAACCCATTGCCAGGTTCAGGGAAAACAATTACAGAGAGTAGGATCTTACAAATTTATACAAATGTTCAATCGTTTCATAAATTACAAATTCCAATTTTTTCCTGAAAACACAAATTTTAAAAAGCAGACTCAAGAGAAGAGGCTCACAAAACCCTATCCCATTATAATATATGAAACCAAAACATTATACTACAACAGTAACTAATTATATAATTACTCACTTACCAGACATGTCATATATTGTTTAACTCCATCACTATCATTTAGATATGAAATAAACTACATTTAAAGCAAATTGAGGTACAAAGTCATCTGGTTACCATGTGTCTCCAAAAGGCATAGAGATTTCACTTTAGAGGCACTACTGTATCAAGAGTACACGTCAATTTTCAATAGGCATTGCTACCTGATTTTATTTACTATATGTATTTTCTCCTGAAAGACCTCTGACAATTTCAGTAACTCATTACACCCTACTGGGTGTAAGACAGTGAACTCCCAACTGCATTAATTATAAGACTTGGCGATAAAAAGGTAGGAGTGGCATGCTTACCACCACCTACCATCGTTCATTATTCCAGAGCTAGGTGGAAGGTAGGGAGGATAGCCTACGGCAGGGTTTCTTAACTCAGCACTACTGACATCTGTGGCTGGATAATTTCTTATTATGGGAAGTTGTCCTGTGAAGTGTAGGATGTGTAGCAGCATCCCATAATGCACCCCATTAGATTCCAGTAGCAACTACCCAGTTGTGACAACTGACATGTCTCTAGACATTACCAAATTCTCGTTGAGAATCATTAGCCTACAACTGGATTCAAATATATTTAACAATAAATAGTCTGACAAGGCTGCTGACCCCTAATTCAAATAATTTAGAAATGCATACAACAAACTAAAAGTAAGACAATTATATTATGATCATGTGAATACACTAAAAAAAAAATTTATCTAAATAAAACAGTGCCTTTATATTGGTTTCTAAGGCCTATACAAGAGCACAATAAAAAAGGAACTGTTCAGTAAGGTATGACATAGTGGTTGCTTCTGTTGAAAAAAAAAATCAGATGAGAATTTGATATCTCTGCTCTACTTAATAAGAAATATCATTATTTAGAAGAATATTTAGACCAGCGATGAAATTGCAAAACAGTTTAAAGTAACATGGGAGGTGAAACAGTTGAACGAACAATTGAAACACAATGTTAGTATCAACTGCAAATTATAGGAATAGTATATAAAACTGTAAGAGCCATCAAATTGACTTAAAATGAAGTCTATGAAAGGTTACCATAAGAGTATAATTCCTGGAAGGCCGTTATACTGAGTATCAGTTTATTTTCACAGGCTTTATTTATTAATTCACCTAAAACTAGGGATAATAATTAATTTTCCAAAATACTGCCTATTCCCCTTGAAATAATTTTCAGCCATTGGTGTGGGTTTCTTTACTTCCTCACCCCAATACTGTCCATTATTATTATTATTATTTTTGTGTGTGTGTGTGTGTGTGTGTGTGTGTGTGGTATGTGGGCCTCTCACTGTTGTGGCCTCTCCCATTGTGGAGCACAGGCTCTGGACGTGCAGGCTCAGCGGCCATGGCTCACGGGCCCAGCCACTCCGTGGCATGTGGGATCTTCCCAGACCGGGGCATGAACCCGCGTCCCCTGCATCGGCAGGTGGACTCTCAACCACTGCACCACCAGGGAAGCCCTGTCCATTATTTTTAATAAACAAAAGTTAAATATACTATAATGGACAGTTTTTTAAAAAAAATTTCTATTCAATAATAATTGAGCAGTCAGTAACTTTGGCATTATCTATTTATACTAGACATGGTAAAAAAGACAAAAATACTTTGCCGGTATTTTAATGTAAAAATGGAAACCAGTTAATAGGCAGGTAGAAATAGACACAGGCATCACAAGTTATTCGACTTACTTTTTTTCATTACCAAGAGGCTTAATGATAATTAAAAGGAAGTGGCTTCTTACTGCAAAAGCCGTATAAACAGGGCTTCCCTGGTGGCGCAGTGGTTGAGAGTCTGCCTGCTGATGCAGAGGACGCCGGTTCGTGCCTCGGTCTGGGAAGATCCCACATGCCGCGGAGCGGCTGGGCCCGTGAGCCATGGCCGCTGAGCCTGCGCATCCAGAGTCTGTGCTCCACAACGGGAGAGGCCACAACAGTGAGAGGCCCGCGTACCGCAAAAAAAAAAAAAAAAAGCCATATAAACAGAAAAATTTATCCTACAGATGATAAAAATGAAAAACAAAAAATTCTAACAAAAGAAGGTAAATTAAATAAAATATTCCATTTGTATTTTTAAGAACGATTTGAATCAAAACCCTGATCTAGACTTTCCAGTATAAGGGTATTCTATCAGACAAGGAAAAACAACCCAAAAAACTCTACAAATGTTTCATTTTCAAGCATATAAGGTGTATTAACTAACATAATACCTGAACTGGCCAGCTCCAAGTGTGTCACCTGTAAAAAGACTGTTTCTTGCATCTCTCAGATTTTCCCGAAGTTTCTTATCTAGTTTCTGAAAAATGAAATTTTACATTAACTCTTTAAAAAAATATTTAATTTTATTGAAGCATAGTTGATTTACAATGCTGTGTTAGTTTCAGGTGTACAGCAAAGTGATTCATTTATACATATACATATATTCATCTTTTTTTAGATTCTTTTCTTATATAGGTTATCACAGAATATTGAGTAGAGTTCCCTGTGCTACATTAACTCTTGAAGAACAGTTTCAGACAACTTTGCATAGGGTAATACACATTGTATTCTTAATTTTGGAACTAAGAAATTTAGAATTCCTTTACAAAACAGCAATTCTCACATTTTAGCTTCTTTACTATTCAATATTATCCTAACTTGGACTTGAAAAGACCAATGCTTTTTCTATTGTGACTCAGACCTGATTTCACTAATAATCACTTTTTGTTGACTATTTTTACTTTAGGTATGGGAAACGTTTTGTAGTAATAACCCACACTCTCTCCCAAAGCATAACTTGCTGCACCGAGGAAGCTATCTCAATAGTGGTGGTTGCAAGAGGCTCCAGAATAGAAATGGAATATGTGAAAGAAACTAGCCCTCTATCTGTCAATGACTCATTCGGGCTACTAAAACTCAAAAATGTTAGTGTATCTTCCTCCATCTTCCCATACCATTTACCTTCTTTTCAGTAACTCTGTAATTTCTCTAATATCTTATTTTTTAATCTTTAAAGCAAATATTTGAATGCTCATTTTACACAGAATGTTCTACTCCAGTATTATGGGAAAGCAAAATACACTTCATCATGTTAAAAATGATTATAATTGTTAATAAATGTTTGCTAAATGAAGTTAAATATTAAATGATTTGAGGAATCAAATAAGTGTAAAATACTACTTAGAGAGACAAAGCTAAATGAGGAATATTTATTTGAGTAAAAAAGAAACAGGGCTGGAATAGCACATTCACATTGGAATAGATCATTTTACTCCATCACATGATCACAATGATTACTTTTTATTTTTGGTGTAATCCCAATGTTATAAAATAAAAATATTTGCCTTTGGCACTTAATATATAACCCATAACAACTGTATAAATACTTAATATTAACAAAAATACTTGAGGTATTTAGGGAAAACAACTGACACATTATTTATCCCCAATGGATATTTGCATGAACTCACCACTGCTACCATTTCTGCTGCTGTTCCTCTTGAACATCTGATTATAGGGACAGCACCTATTTTAACAACAGATGTTAGCAATGATTTCAGCTCTTAATAATTAAAATGGATACTTATAAAATACATCAGCCTCAAATAATAACATACAATAGATATATACAATTTCAGGCTACAAACATAAAAGGATTTATAATCTTGAAAATAAAAGCAAGGTTTCAGAAATAGACCTTACCATTTATAAAGACAACATGAAGGGAGTCAGAAAAACATGATTTTTATATTGTGTGGGTCAATCAGTGTGACCATATTTTTTCAATGGACTGACTAAATCAGCACTTTGACTAATTTAAAAGATAATATCAATAGAAAACACATTCTTTGCACAATGTAAAATACTCCTAAAAGTTGGCCTCAGTTTATTATCAAATCAACTCATTTTAGACTTCTTAATTTCTCTCTATTATTCCAAGTTTTATTGAAGGCTGAAATCCTAAAATGAGAAAAAAAAATTAAACTGCACTGAAAATCTCATAAAACAAAGAACATTGTAATACTTATATGCTGAAATTCTTACATTTTAGATTCTATACAAAGCATGCTCAGTCACTTGTAAAAGTAAAAACGTGAAATATTAGTACATTTTTTAAAACTTTGTTTTCTTCTGATGGCAAGCTATACATGTCTGTCCTAAGAAAATCCAAATAATATTAGAAATGTACAAAGTTAATCCTCTTGATTCAAGCATCCCAAAATAACCCCATTAAGAATTAGATATGAATGTTTCCAGGTTATATTCTACATATAGTCTAAATAAGTGTGTGTGTGGAGTGCATAAAAAACAAAAACAGGATATTTTGCATACCATCCTTAAATTTGCTTTTTTTACACTTAATTTATTATTGATATCTTTCTATGTCAGGTTGGTAGTAATTTCAACATTTCCTTTAAGAAAAATCACTTTCTGATACTCTACATAATAAAAGTGGCTCTAACACTTCAGTGGTCTGTACACTTCTTTTTCAATCTACCGTAACCTTGAAAATATAGTTATCATCAAGCAAAAATAACCTTAATGTCCACAATAACTCTAGCATTCAGCAAAATTCTGGAGACTGTGTGCAAAAATAGAAAGATTAATTATGTCTGTTTAATGACTAAAAGTGGTATACATGTGCGTTCTTTAACAAACAACCCAACAACAACTCCATTTGAAGGTACTGAGAGCAATCGAAAGCAAGCAGAAAGTGGAGGAGGGTAAAACTCTTGAAAGAAGAGAAATACTTGAACAGTGAGAGATACTTTTAACCAGCTTTCCTCTTGAGGGTACTTTCCAGTTTGCATGGCACAGAGGAGAAAGAGCTCAAGCAGAAAACAGAAGACTCACTGAGCTGGGAAATCAAAGCCTGGAGTTCAGGGCTGGAAATTAAAGGGAAAAATCCCTGAAAGGAGGGACCCGCAAAATCTGTATGCAAATTCTCCTCAAGCTTTTGTCTATATCCTAAACTATGCATGTATCTCTCAATTTTCTCATTTGTGAAAAAGAGAGAAATTTTATTAATGTAGTGTGAGGATCATTTTAACTGAAAAGTTTTCAGTGTCTGCAAAATTAAAATCGCAATTAGAGGATTTCTAAACATATACATTATTCATAGTAACGAATAAAATCATACATTAGACATTAAACACAATGTAGCTGTAAGTAAATTTAGATACTCCAAAGAAATGTTTAAAATTTTGAGAGTATGTTGGATAAGTGTTTTACGTAAAGTTACTGTTTCCTGGAGCCTTGGGAGTTTGCCTTAATACTTACCAGGCATATATCTCTCTAATTAGAAGTGCATTTGAAATTTTTCAAAATGAACTATTAAAAGAAAATTAGCAGGCACATAGGTGAAGCCACCAGCAAACATTCAAACAATATATTAGGAAGTTACAATTACCAAAGACATCTAAGGTGACAACTCAAGAGAGCTGCTAAATGCTAACTTCATCAAATTATTAGAAGAATTGTGGTTTTATATAGTACAGAATGTATATTTTATCTCAACTCTGGAGAGAGGGATTGTAGAGATCCAGATAGATAATAAGGGATCATATTGCAGTGTAACAAGTTAAAATGAGCTGTTAAATAACTTACTTTCAAGAAATAAACAAAGGTTTGAAAACTTACCCAGTGTAACAAAAAAGCAAAAGAGGCTGTCAACAATAGTGTCCATAACAGTTTCCATTTCTGTGTCTGTGATATCTGGTCTGTTAATGGCTAAAATGACATAGATAAAAGAGAAGAAAGTGACCAAAATTTATCCCTTATTTTTATTCAAATTATTACTCAACACCTATCAATATTCAGTTTGATAATACTTGTAATAGTTAAAGAAGTAAAATTTTTTATGCTTTAAATTTTAAGTGAACAAGTATCCACAAAAATTATACTTCAAAAAAAATACCACCTCAATATCAGTAGTAGTAATGAGTAGTATCAATATTAGAGCAGTAATAATAAGAAAAAACCCACCACATAAATTATACAAAATTTTTGCCAGAGCAAATAGGAAATATCGACTTCCATAATTTTATTCACAAACATTAAATGGCCTCAAGAAACTACTGATCTTACTATCCAAATACTGCCAGAAAAGGACAATGTATCAATAAATCAATTACGGCAAGACCAACATCACATACATTTTCTTTGTATTATAACAAATCATATAAATTTCTTTTCTGATCTACTAGACTGTGCTTAAGTGGTTCTCAAACTCCAGTGGACAGAAGACTCATTCTAAGAATAGGAGAGAAGAGAAAGAAGTTTCTCTGGAAGCTATTAAAAATGAAAGACTATTAGCCCTTTCCCTCAGGGACTCAATTCAATAGATTTGGGATAATTCTAGGTAATCTGCAATTCTGACAAACACCTCAGGTGATACTTGGGGCTACACATTTTTTTCTTTTCTGTCCCATTTCTTTCCTGGAACTTTAAGAACCAACATGTCAAATGTTTTTAAAAGGTAAGAGTAATAATGGTCCCTAGCCAGGAGGGAAGAATAAATGGAGAGGTGGCAAGCCTACTCACTAGGTTGACAACCAGTGACTTTGCTATCCTGGCTGCTCTACTACACGATGGCTTCCACATTTGAAAAACAGGTTGTTGGGGCTACACTTTAAGAAACATTGGTGTGAAGACTTTTCTTGACAAAGACCTTGCCTTATTCATCTTCCTATCTCTCAGAGTACCTAGGCTCAGTGTCTGACAAGTAGATGCTCAGTAACTATTTGTTAAAAGACTGGCTGGACTAAAATATTATCTATATAATATGTTTAATTTCCTAGCATCTTGAATGTGAAAACAAATATAAAATTCAATACAACTTGTGATCAGCATAAGAGGAAATCAGAATCCAACTGGATACAACAGAGTGTTCAAAGAAAGTATGGTACATGCAGAGAACATAAAAATAACAAAGACTTTAACCATAATCTGGATGAGGAAACGTGCTGCTATTCAGTACTTCAGACTGCCATCTATCCAAATCAGATGACAGAAATGGCATAAGGATACAACGTGAATTATGTAAATTCAGGGGATACCAATCCAGTGAAATACTCAGCTCATTCTGCCAATCACTGGTTCAGGTAAAATCTATATGAAGCCTCCACCCTTCAGGTCCATACCCTTCAGTCCCACACCTCTGAAACACTGACCTCAACAGTCAAAACACTGTCCATCACTAACTTCAACTCACTTTCAAAAACAACTTGGTTTGTCTGAGACATTAGCATAAGTCTAACTAAGGTGACACCTCCGCGTCCTTTATTGGATAAATTCCCAATCCGTGGAAAACAGGTGATAAAAATTGAATCCATGGTATCAATATGGTTGATTTATGTTTTGAATAATCTGTTTAAGATTATTAATTAAAGCACTTGCAATGTTTGAGAGGATTTGCCACATAATTACATAATAATTAAGAGCACTAACTCTGGAGTGAGTGCCTGGATTTAGTAACCTGGTTTTGCCATTTCCTTATCAAGTTACTTAGTATCTGTGCCTCAGTTTTTTCATCTAGAAAACAGAAATAATATTAATTCCTACTTCATTAAGTTATTCTGAGGAGTAAATGAGCTTATATTGTAAAATGTGTATAGGGCAATCTACTACTATTATTATACTATAATTATACTATTGAGAATCTGGGCGATTAAGCATGTGATTATACTTTAAAATTAATAAATTAAATTTATACTTTTAATTCAATAATTATTAATTTCAGACTTGTGATTTTTAAGTTGAGAGATATAAGAAAACAAATTTATAAACACTTGAATGTTTAATGAATTTAGATTCCCTATAAATTTAATTATTTTTAATAATTATTTAAATATTTGGGCAGATTTTGTTTGTTAGATTTATAAAGTTGCCTGGTCTGGTATTTGAAGTACTTAAAACTACTCAGCCATAAAAAATCATGAAATTTTGCTGTTTGCAGCAACATGGATGGATTTGCAGAGTATTATGTTAAGTGAAATAAGTCAGACAGAAAGACAAATACTGCATGGTATCACTTATAAGTGGAATCTAAAAAATGCAACAAACTAGTGAATGTAACAGAATAGAAGCAGACTCACAGCTATAGATAACAAATAAGTGGTTACCAGTGGGGAGAGGGAAGAGGGGACAACCTAGGGGTAGGGATTAAGAGGTGCAAATTATTATGTATAAAATAAGCTACAAGAATACATTGTACAGCATAGGGAATACAGCCAATATTTTATAATAACTATAAATGGAATATAACCTTTAAAAACTGTGAATCACTATATTATACACCTGTAACTTACATAATATTGTACATTGACTATACATCAATTAAAAAACAAATAATTAAAAAATGAATAGGTTGAACTTATAAGCGCAACTTAAACTGTTTAAGGAAATTTAACAAACTAAGTTTGTTGACTAAGTTTGTTAAATGAGACTGATTATAATTTAGTCAGTTCAATCTGAGTTAATCAAAGAAAAAGTAAAGGTGCTTGTTTTCAAATAAACAGACTTAAAAATAAAATTTACAAGTTTAGTTTAAAGGCTTAAGGGAAACTAGGTTTTAAACATGTATCTTAAGTAGCTAATTAAGTTAAAGGTCAATTAAATGTAAACAGACTTCTGTAAATAACTACAGTACTGTCAAAAATCTCTTACATGGGCAATTCAGCAAATACTTACACCCATTTAGAGATGTTGCTTAATTTCAGCAAGAAGGCATACTATGGAGCTCAGTGAAACCAAAAGATTCATGCTCTCTTCTCTTGGGAGCTTACCACCTGGTCCAGTGTGTTATGATAGAATACCACTAGTATTTTGAGCAGAACGATTTTCTATGTGAGTATGGTTTACACACTGCAGAAGATTTAGCATCCCTAGTCCCTGCTCACTAACTGCTAGTGCTAATTGTGACAATCAAAAATGTCCTTACACATTTCCAAATGCCCCCATGGGAGGCCCCTACTTTAGAACCTCTGAAACTCTAGTCATTCCCAAACATCTCAATACTTAGGTATCAAATTAATAATTATTTCTATGAATTGGCTAATTACATCTTTTGTAGTCTGCAATTTTCTTTAAAATATTTGACATAACTAATCAATGGGCACAAAGTTTCAGTTAGGCAAGATGAATAAGTTCTAGAGATCTGCCATACAACATTGTACCTAAATCAACAATACTGTATTATATACTTAAAAATGTTAAGAGAGTAGATCTCATGTTAAGTGTTTTTACAAAGAAAAAGAATCAGCATAGACAATAAAACATGGTGTGGGTGTCCATGTTCCTGTGTGCATGTGTGTGTGTGTATGCGTGTGCGTCTGTTAAGTTTAATCTACATCCAAGGAATGGTCAGTTTATCAAAGCTAGGAATACAAACTTCAGAAGTGGTTAGATAGCATTTGATCAAATACCAATACTCAAACCTACCACTGCATGAACAGGGTGTAAGAATCAAGGGTGTCTAACAACCTATATTTGAGAATGGTACTTATATCAATACTTCATTCCATAATAGGACATTAGTAGCTGCTGACTCTTTGTTGTTGTCTGATCTTGACAAATAGCAACATTAACCAACCGTTTCTGAGTGCTTACGATATGCCAGTAACTTTTCCAAGCATTTTACATACACGAATGCATTTAACTCCCATTAAAAACTCTGAGGTAGATAGTATTATTATTCCCGTTTTACAGATTTGGAAACTAAAGCACAGAGAAGCAAAGTAAACTTGTTCTTGTCCAAGGATCAAAGTACTAAAAGATTAACTGAATCTTACTACTAAAATACTGTCTTACACACCATGAGTGAACCACTCGTGCAAGTTGCTGTGGGGTAACTAAAAGGTCAGATAATTGGTCCTTCATTGAGCTTACAAAACAGATTTAGTAAGTGTTGTCTACATGTGACAGAACTCAAGTCTGAGACTTGTTTTCTTTATGGGCTGTAAACAAAGCTGGTTCTGGAGTGCACTAAACATGTTTACTATTTTTTTTACAGTACACTGTTCATTTTGTTAACAATGAATTATAAAATTCCTATTTTTACATACCACGATATGAAACAAGCTCCTTATTTTGATTACATAATACAAACATATCATCTTCCAAAGTAATAAAATTGAGATACTGATCGAAAACCTAGAAACAAAAGAAAAAGTTTTCAAATCAATTTTACAATATTGAATGCACTTTTAGTTTGATTTAATCTACTAATGATAAAATGAATAAAATTATAATTATATTCAATAACTAAAAGTTATACCATGTAGCATGTAGATTGTCAAATTGGACAAGAATGAGAAAGTAACATAAAAAAGCAATAAAAAAAACAAGACTCTGGGCAATAAATTATCAAGGAGAGTAACAGTTTCAGAAAACAAAATTTAAGAAGATATAAAATTTTAAAATAAATTGTGGTTGGGATGGGAATGGATATCAAATATGAAGAAAAACCACAATTTTAATTTTTATATTCATTTTAATCATACTTCTCTAAGAAAGTCATAGTAACTGTTTTTACACTGTGAACTATATTTATAGGCGGGGAAAAGTTACACTAGTTCTTTAGAAGTGTAAATCAGGAGAAAAATGAAGAAGACTATCTGAGATACGTTAAACGTAGTTAAATCGAAAACTGTTCATATTATTTCATGTAAAACTAATGATAAATTTTGGAAGAGAAAGAATAAGACGTAAGCCTTAAAAACTAATCAGAAGTAGTAGTGGACTATCTAAATCTAAGAATGAAAAATCTATTAGAATGAAAGAATGGGAATTAAATGCATGGTTGTTTAGTCTTTTATTCGCCCTATATCATTCTGTAGAATTTTCAGTTATATCTTGTCCAAATTCAAGAAACAAAGGGCAAAACAGGGCTACAACCAAGAATATATTTTATAGATTTATTTATAATTAAGCCAAACATGACTAAAAGTGACTACGATATAGAATTGCTGGCCTTCTTTCTTATAATATGCAATATAGCCCCCTTGGATTCTCTCTCCTAACTAAAAAAATATCTGAAGATAGTATGGTGACTATAGTGATCACTGATAAAACAATGCCAAAATATTCTGGGTATAATTTATGACAATACAACTGTCAAACTATTTCTAAGCTGAGCTAAAAAAATTATACAAATCCCAGCCCAAAACAAAAATTGATTCAGCTTCTTATTTTTGTCTTTCAAATTAACTGAGTAATAAGTTCCTTTAGTTTGGTTTATTTTGCCTAGTCCAAGTTGAAGATAATTTACACTATCAGAACTCTTTCTAGAAGTATTGGGTCTAAATATTTCTTAGGTTGTTCCAGTCCTTTGTAAATTAGACACCAATGTCTATTTATAGATTTCAGAATATTACTGAATTTTACATTTAACAAAATGTTATCAGCCAACCAAAACCTCTTACCTTGGCTACTTGTGTTACTGCACTAGCTGCTAATGCTGCATTTGCAATATCTTCCAGTTTACTTCTTGAAATAGCAGAAATAAAATTTAAATAATATGATTCATAGAGTTGATTTCGAAGATCCTATGAATACAATGAATACTTCATTCTTATAGGATAGTATAAAGGATAATGACCAATGCAAATCTTTTAGATGCAATAGAGCAAGGTTTTAGAGGATAATATGCATATTTAAAAGACAGGTTATACAAATGATACAAAAAAGTATCCCAGGAGAATAAAGTTATGAAGAGGTACTGGTTACTTGGTTACCACATATAATTGACATGTATTTTAATAATTAAAGTTATGATACTATAATTATATTATCAATAAAATCCTATTAATTACAGTAGTGTACAAAACTGCTTTGAATTAGCATACTTGTATATTAGCATACTTCTTAAAAAAATCCAGGAGAGGGGAAAGATGGCGGAAGAGTAAGACGCGGAGATCACCTTCCTCCCCACAGACACATCAGAAATACATCTACACGTGGAACAACTCCTACAGAACAACCACTGAACGCTGGCAGAAGACCTCAGACCTCCCAAAAGGCAAGAAACTCCCCACGTACCTGGATAGGGCAAAAGAAAAAAAGAATAAACACAGACAAAGGAATAGGGACGGGACCTGCACCAGTGGGAGAGAGCTGTGAAGAAGGAAAGGTTTCCACACACTAGGAAGCCCCTCCGCGGGCGGAGACTGCGGGTGGCGGAGGGGGGAAGCTTCGGAGCCGCGGAGGAGAGCACAGCAACAGGCGTGCGGAGGGCAAAGCGGGGAGATTCCCGCCCAGAGGATCGGTGCCGACCAGCACTCACCAGCCCGAGAGGCTTGTCTGCTCACCCGCCGGGGTGGGCGGGGCTGGGAGCTGAGGCTCGGCTTTGGTGGGATCGCAGGGAGAGGACTGGCGGTGTGACCACAGCCTGAAGGGGTTAGTGCACGACGGCTAGCGGGAGGGAGTCCGGGGAAAAAGTCGGAACCTGCCGAAGAGGCAAGAGACATTTTCTTCCCTCTTTGTTTCCTGGTGCACGAGGAGAGGGGATTAAGAGCGCCGCTTAAAGGAGCTCCAGAGACGGGCGCGAGCTGTGGCTATCAGCACAGACCCCAGAGACGGGCATGAGACACTAAGGCCGCTACTGCCGCCACCAAAAAGCCTGTGTGCGAGCACAGGTCACTATCCACACCTCCCTTCCCAGGAGCCTGTGCAGCCTACCACTGCCAGGGTCCCAGAATCCAGGGACAACTTCCCGGGAGAACACATGGCACGCCTCAGGCTGCTGCAACGTCATGCTGGCCTCTGCCGCCGCAGGCTCGCCCCGCACACCGTGCCCCTCCCTTCCACCGGCCTGAGTGAGCCAGAGCCCCTGAATCAGTGGCTCCTTTAACCCTGTCCTGTCTCAGCTAAGAACAGACACCCTCCGGTGACCTACACACAGAGGCGGGGCCAAATCCAAATTTGAACCCCGGGAGCTGTGCGAACAAAGAAGAGAAAGGGAAATTTCTCCCAGCAGACTCAGGAGCAGCGGATTAAATCTCCACAATCAACTTGATGTACCCTGCATCTGTGGAATGCCTGAATAGACAACGAATCATCCCAAATTGAGGCGGTGGACTTTGAGAGCAAGATATATTATTTTTTCCCCTTTTCCTCTTTTTCTGAATGTATATGTGTCTGTGTGAGATTCTGTCTGTATAGCTTTGCTTTCACCATTTGTCCTAGGGTTCTATCTGTCCTTTTTGTTGTTTTTGTTTTGTTTTTCTACTTAAAAGGAAAATTTTTTTCTCAATTATTTTTTATTTTAATAACTTTATTTTATCTTACTTTATCTTATTTTATCTCCTTCCTCCCTCCCTCCCTCTCTCCCTCCCTTCCTTTCTTTCTTTCTACTTTTTCTCCCTCTTATTCTGAGCTGTGTGGATGAAAGGCTTTTGGTGCTGCAGCCAGGAGTCAGTGCTGCACCTCTGAGGTGGGAGACCCAACTTCAGGACACTGGTCCACAAGAGACCTCCCAGCTCCATGTAATATAAAATGGCAAAAATCTCCCAGAGATCTCCATCTCAACACCAAAACCCAGCTTCACTCAATGACCAGCAAGCTACAGTGCTGGACACCCTATGCCAAACAACTAGCAAGACAGGAACACAACCCCACCCATTAGCAGACAGGCTGCCTAAAATCAAAATAAGGTTACAGACACCCCAAAAGACACCACCAGACATGGACCTCCCCACCAGAAAGACAAGATCCAGCCTCATCCACCAGAACACAGGCACTAGTCCCCTCCACCAGGAAGCCTACACAACCCACTGAACCAACTTTAGACACTGGGGACAGACACCAAAACAACGGGAACGACGAACCTGCAGCCTGCAAAAAGGAGACCCCAAACACAGTAAGATAAGCAAAATGAGAAGACAGAAAAACACACAGCACATGAAGGAGCAAGATAAAAACCCACCAGACCTAACAAATGAAGAGGAACTAGGCAGTCTACCTGAAAAAGAATTCAGAATAATGATAGTAAAGATGATCCAAAATCTTGGAAATAGAATAGAGAAAATGCAAAAAACATTTAACAAGGACCTAGAAGAACTAAAGAGGAAACAAGCAACGATGAACAACACAATAAATGAAATTAAAAATACTCTAGAAGGGATCAATAGCAGAAAAACTGAGGCAGAAGAACAGATAACTGACCTGGAAGATAAAATAGTGGAAATAACTACTGCAGAGCAGAATAAAGAAAAAAGAATGAAAAGAACTGAGGACAGTCTCAGAGACCTCTGGGACAACATTAAATGCACCAACATTCGAATTATAGGGGTCTCAGAAGAAGAAGAGAAAAAGAAAGGGACTGAGAAAATATTTGAAGAGATTATAGTTGAAACCTTCCCTAATATGGGAAAGGAAATAGTTAATCAAGTCCAGGAAGCACAGAGAGTCCCATACAGGATAAATCTAAGGAGAAACACGCCAAGACACATATTAATCAAACTGTCAAAAATTAAATACAAAGAAAACATATTAAAAGAAGCAAGGGAAAAATAACACACAAGGGAATACCCATAAGGTTAACAGCTGATCTATCAGCAGAAACTCTACAAGCCAGAAGGGAGTGGCAGGACATATTTAAAGTGATGAAGGAAAAAAACCTACAACCAAGATTACTCTACCCACCAAGGATCTCATTCAATTTTGATGGAGAAATTAAAATCTTTACAGACAATCAAAAGCTGAGAGAGTTCAGCACCACCAAACCAGCTTTACAACAAATGCTAAAGGAACTTCTCTAGGCAAGAAACACAAGAGAAGGAAAAGACCTACAATAACAAACCCAAAACAATTAAGAAAATGGGAATAGGAACATATATATCAATAATTACCTTAAATGTAAATGGATAAAATGCTCCCACCAAAAGACACAGACTGGCTGAATGGATACAAAAACAAGACCCATATATATGCTGTCTACAAGAGACCCACTTCAGACGTAGGGACACACACAGACTGAAAGTGAGGGGATGGAAAAAGATACTCCAAGCAAATGGAAATCAAAAGAAAGCAGGAGTAGCAATTCTCATACCAGACAAAATAGACTTTAAAATAAAGACTATTACAAGAGACAAAGAAGGACACTACATAATGATCAAGGGATCGATCCAAGAAGAAGATATAACAATTGTAAATATTTATGCACCCAACATAGGAACACCTCAATACATAAGGCAAATACTAACAGCCACATATATACAATGGAATATTACTCAGCCATAAAAAGAAACGAAATTGAGCTATTTGTAATGAGGTGGATAGACCTAGAGTCTGTCATACAGAGTGAAGTAAGTCAGAAAGAAAAAGACAAATACCGTATGCTAACACATATATATGGAATTTAAGAAAAAAAAATGTCATGAAGAACCTAGGAGTAAGGCAGGAATAAAGACGCAGACCTCCTAGAGAACGGGCTTGAGGTTATGGGGAGGGGGAAGGGTGAGCTGTGACAGGGCGAGAGAGAGTCATGGACATATACACACTAACAAACGTAGTAAGGTAGATAGCTAGTGGGAAGCAGACGCATGGCACAGGGATATTGGCTTGGTGCTTTGTGACAGCCTGGAGGGGTGGGATAGGGAGGGTGGGAGGGAGGGAGACGCAAGAGGGAAGAGATATGGGAACATATGTATATGTATAACTGACTCACTTTGTTATAAAGCAGAAACTAACACACCATTGTAAAGCAATTATACCCCAATAAAGATGTTAAAAAAAAAATACTAACAGCCATAAAACGGGAAATCAACAGAAACATATTCATAGTAGGGGACTTTTAACACCCCGCTTTCACCAATGGACAGATCATCCAAAATGAAAATAAATAAGGAAACACAAGCTTTAAATGATACATTAAACAAGATGAACTTTATTGACATTTATAGGACATGCCATCCAAAAACAACAGAATACACATTTTTCTCAAGTGCTCATGGAACATTCTCCAGGATAGATCATATCTTGGGTCACAAATCAAGCCTTGGTAAATTTAAGAAAATTGAAATTGTATCAAGTGTCTTTTCCACAACAACACTATGAGACTAGATATCAATTACAGGACAAGATCTTTAAAAAATACAAAAACATGGAGGCTAAACAATACATTACTTAATAACAAAGTGATCACTGAAGAAATCAAAGAGGAAATCAAAAAAATACCTAGAAACAGGGCTGCCCTGGTAGCACAGGGGTTGAGAGTCCGCCTGCCGATGCAGGGGACACGGATTTGTGCCCTGGTCTGGGAAGATCCCACATGCTGCGGAGCGGCTGGGCCTGTGAGCCATGGCCACTAAGCCTGTACATCTGGAGCCTGTGCTCCGCAACGAGAGAGGCCACAACAGTGAGAGGCCCGCGTATTGCAAAAAACAAAACAAAACAAAACAAAACAAAACAAAACATACCTAGAAACAAATGACAGTGGAGACACAACGACCCATTCCTGCAGGATGCAGGAAAAGCAGTTCTAAGAGGGAAGTTTATAGCAATACAATCCTACCCTAAGAAACAGGAAACATCTCAAATAAACAAC